AATTTTAACTATTTAAATGTGCTACAATATAATCACAACTTTATTTTTAATTGCAAATATAGGATGAATTAGTTATTGCATATGAAAAATTAAACCATTTTCTAAAAAAAGATTATAAACAAGAAATGATTATCGATTCTAATGGAATTACTAAACACAATCCATGCATAAATTATTGTAGCTTTATGCTTTTGGATATTGTATAGAACAACATACTTACGAATGTTATATTGTAACAGTCTTTTCCAATTTATTGAAAATATCAAATGTAATACTAATTTATCGATACATAGTGAAATTGAGGAATTAAAAGATCATCTTTTATACTATCTAAGTCATCAAATGCGAAAAGCTTATCTTAATACTCAGTTTAACGCAAATTTGTTAAAGCTAGACAAAGAAGGGGCAATATTAGTAGTTGATTACAAGATGAAAATACTTCCTAAAAGTGCTAGAGAGACAAAACAAGAATTTTTTGGAAAAAAAGGATGGACCTTGCACACTGTTTTAGTATATACTCATCCATCAGATAGTGGTCAGTTACAAGTAACTGTGTATGATCATTGGTCAGCCGACATGTGTCAAGACACATGGTTTATAGCTTCTTCATTACATGCTGTAGTAGAAAGCTTAGAAAACAAACCAAAATAGATAATAATATTGTCAGACAACAGACCTCACTACCATAATGCTGAGCTTATGATAATTATGGGCTACTGGTATGAATGGTACCAGATTTTTGTTAAAAAATAGATTTTTTTAGAGGCAGACGAGGCCAAAACCACTATCAACTCACATCATGCACAGGTTGTATATTTTTTGAGCATAATTATTACAAAACTAGTTTTTAACTTATTTTTATAGATATCCCATGCTATCAACCATTATGTAAAACTTGGCTTCGATCTTTCTCAAGAAACAGATATAGAAAATGCAATTCAAGGTATTAGTGGTACTCGAGTAGCATATTTAGAACCAAATAAAACCAAAGGTGTGTAAAATATGTATGTAGATAATCTCAAAATAATATTTTATAATTTGAATTTTATTTTTTGAAAATAGGAACGAGCAAGAAAAAATTTTTATTACCCGGCAATTCTAACTGGTTTGAGTGGCATTGGCCAATTGAAGAAGAATTTGCTGGCTATATTTTGGCACGCTCTATTCCTAACATAGAAGACTGAAAAAAATTTTCCCCTGCACAATTATCAAAACTCTATATAACCGAGATTACTAAACCTCATCCTCAATTTTCAGATCATTCTATACCAGAAACAGAATGGCACATACCTTTGCCACATATATCAAGTTAGCACATTCAATATAATCAAAATTTATATTCATTCTAATAAGCTTATTTTTATTAGAGATAAACCCCACATGATTAACTAAAGATAAGCTTGAAATAGAATTAGAAAAACGAAAAATTAATCATAAAGGATTCAAAAGGAATGAGTTGGTTAATATATTACAAGAAAAAATGACTCAAGAAATATTAGTAAATACGGATAATTTAGGTAATTAGAAATTATTCTGTATAGGCATAAGTATTGAATAAATTTTAGGCAACTCATTGGTTATTTTCTAGTATGATATATAAATTTTGTGTATCTCTATATTATGAGGTTTACTACTTATATTAGTGTTATATAATTTTTTAAGCTAATGAGTTTATTATTTGTTATAGATAAATGGATAGATACTACAAATTTACATAATATGAATAAACTAAACAGGTAGGAATTTGTAATATATTAAGTAATGTAAAGTAATATAACGTAATACATGACTATTATTTACAGTTCGAGCAGTATTTTTTTATTACCGGCGGGCTGGGCTTTAAAAGAAAGTCAAAAATTCAGTATAAAAGGAAAAGGAAAACGTATTAGCAAGAATGTAGTTCCTTTGCTTGAAGCTTTTTTTCTTGCGGGAGATGCAGATAAAAGTGATAGATATACAGCTGAAGATATGTTGAACGAGTTACATTCAATAGTGTGTAAGGGAACATTAGAAGATGAAGAGATTCCAAAATTAACAACCATAGCAAATTGGATATCAGGATACGCAAAAAAATATTGGCAAAATCTTGCAAAACAATCAATTGAAATGACAAAGGTAAGTTTGTTGAAATCCAAGTTTTATTGAAATTTATCACTGTTCAAACATTACTAATAATTTTTTCAAATATCATTTTTTATGCATTCTTGGTAGCAAATTTGAAATCTGTTCAACTATAGTCACCTCTTACTATACCAAATCCTGAACCAAAAATTTAGAACAAACTGATTTATTTCTAATTGGGTTTGTGCACAGCCCATAATCATATAGAAATAAACAATTATAATAACATAGGTTATTATCATTCCATAGCATAGTTTTAAATGTAACAATTAATTCATAGATA